TACTTCATTTATTTTATACGTTGTCTCCTCACTCATAAAAACGCTTTCAAAATATGCCTTCCATCTCTTTAAACTCAAAACTTCATCATTCAGAATATAGGCATTCTCATGTCTTATAGCATTCATTATAGGCTGTTTTGAATGTTTCATCAACTGTCTTTAATTTGAAAGTATTAATTCCAAATCTATCAAATTCAAAGCGAGTTAAAACTGACAATCTAATAGGGTCTTCACTGATGCCGGGAAATTTTAGAAAGTATGTATTAATATCTTCAGGATTACATAAATGGGATGCCATATTACAGTCCTCTTTCTTAAAGTTGGCTACACTTTGTTTGATATTTTTCCATAAGAGTTTTGGCTTGTTAGTAAAATTGATATAGTTATTGAAATATGCTATTTTTTCGCTACGTATTGCCGAATTTACAATGTTTTTTAGATCTTTATAGAATTTATGTGAATATCTAATTTAGTAGTTTTACTTTTAGTGTATGCCCTATCGCATAACTTCATTATTTCTTTAATAGTAATGGTTATCCATGGATGTGATTTATTTCTTATTAAACATAAATTATTATATATTTAAATTCTCATGTATATTAAAAAGTGATATCTCGCATATCTCGCGATAATCTGATAAATGCGAGAAACGCATCATGGCGGGTTCCCAAGGAGCCAGCATTTAAAAACCCGATTGATAGTCTTTTATTTTTTAAAAATTTAAAAGCAAAAGCATACGAAATTTGGCAGTACTTACAATGATCTAAGAAATTGCACAGAAGTGTTAAGTGACGCCATCCAATGGACTAAATAAAATAAGTAGAATAATTGTTATTTTCATAGAGTATATAAAATAGTGTATCGAATATGTGATTTGTTAAGTGTATGTAGGTAACGTCAATATGTATGGGAAGAATACAATGCAACGTGAGAAAATAACAACAATTAAATAAACATTTACAATAAAAGTGGGTGCAAAAATGATTAGCATTAAAAATGAGATCATATTTAGGACCGAACAATACTATTGCCCAAAAACTTTAATTAAGTCCCTTTCAAAGCGCACTCGATGATGGAGCTCACCGTTTTTTCTTCTAGCAAAAACTTTACCATGCCGTGTCCAGACCTACTTCCAATTATTGCGTTTCGCTTCTGTACGTACTTTATAAAATAGTTGACGATTATGTCTGGTTAGCCTTTCATTCACATAGAAGGGACAGTCGACGGAATTGAGTCCCAGAGCAACTGTAGTGCAGTCTCGACGGACTCGCGCCGTTGCTAGCAGACTATCGCAATGAACACGGCGTGTCAGCCGCACTACGATGGGACGCGGCCTAGATGTCTCATTCTGCTCATGCCACAAAAGACCTGCACGCTCTGCACTTACTATATCGCGATCTTCTAGCGCTACACCTAATTTAGTTGCAACTGCCAAAACAATATGTGCAGAACGTTCATTTTTGTCTTCGGATATTCCCGAGACCTCGATATCATTGCTTAAGAGTTCCTGGTCACGGTCATTAAACTCAATTTTGAGATCCGTAATTGTTTTCTCGAAAAATGATATGTCATTGGACGTCTTTATCTGCGAATTTTTCTCCACCACCTCCATTCGTGCCTCCACACAGTCAAGTCGATGATTGCACGCATTTATTGCGGTAAGCAGGTTGGTCATCGTTCCCCTAAACTCTTGCATATCATTAGGCATTTCTTTGATGTCTTGGCGCAATAGTTTTAGCTCATTTGTTAGATCACTAGTTGGCAAATCAGTTGTTTATGATGCGGATGTTGAAATGGCCGTAGATTTCAGCTTTTCATTCGTGCGACTACGCAGAGTCACATTTGTACGTCCGATGTCTTGCTTGCTATTTGGTGACAATTGCAGGTTGTGTTTTATTGGTGTGTTTGTATTGTAAGTCTTAGGTTCATTGCTTGTACATTCCTGACATTTCCAGTTTTTCTTATTATCTGCTGACATAATATAAAACCGCTTTTCTGACACATTTGTGCAAGGAAGATCATAATATTTACAACAAACATGACATTTTAAATATTGCTTGTCGGTTATTTCTTCACCCATTGCATTGAATTTTACTTGGTACTAATGGCGCCATCGCTTCCTCCACGTATGCAACTTAAATGAAAACGGTGACTTTATCGACTTGTGATCTGATCGGTTTAGTAACAAATGTCTATGGATGATTCTAGATGGCGTTGTTTCAAACAAATAAATTTGAAAGGATTCAAACTTAATTTAACGGTCACCCAGAAAGAATAACTTTTGTAATATTATCTTCCTCGATCAGATTTTAAAGTTCACTTGAATTTAACAGTCTAGAACTAATACTTACAACTTCGATTATTAGTTTTGTTCCAAAACAAAATACAATTATTCGATTAAATATTTTTCAGCTAATTATCACAAAATATTCACACACAACACACACACACACACACACACACACACACACACACACACACACACAATATTCATTGAAAACACTTTCACAGGTCAATTGTAACTAAATGCACTGATTGTAATAACTTTTAGATAAAATAACTCATAAATACCATTTTTAAACAAATAATTTTACAGAGCCAATGTTACTTGAACGCATCGCAACGCACGCCATCTACCCTCATTATTTAAACGATAAACCGGGTATTATCCGTTGGTGGTCAAATACCCGCCCAAATTTCCTTTCAAATTAAATTTTCGAATGAAACGAATTATAGAGAGTAGAAAACTTTTAAAATTTTCAAGGAGTAAGTATATAGCCACTTTATTAGTAGGCCGTAAAAGTATGCTCTAAATTCATGGCTACACACATCTCTTTCTATGACGAACACAGTAAAACTACAGAGCATGCAACTATAGCTAAAACAATACGATGTAGTTCATTATGATCGGAAAGTACGAAAGTATCGGTCTATCGGCGTAATTCCTTGTAAATTGTCAAGGTATAAAATTCATAAGATGATTAGTTTTACCACTTATTCATTGAGTTTCCCATTTAATTGGCACATGATTGGAGTCAGATAATTCGTGACCAGCACTTTGGAATTTGTTTGATCATTGAGCAACGTATTCAGCTTCGAAATAGAAACGAGATGTTACGTAAAGTATCTATCTATATTATTATTGTATGAAATTACTCATAACATATAATATTTTACACACACACAAATATACACACAACAACATATATATGTTTTTTTTGTTTTGTTACATTATTTTATGTTAAGTTCTGTTATTTTGTAACTATAACTTCGTGTTTACGAGAAGCAACTGAATCGCATTTATGCGTGCGTGTTTGCTTAAGTGCGAGTTTTTTCACATACATGACACCGGAATTGTTATTCTAATTAGTGCAATGTGAACATGCCTCTCATTTAAACAGAATCTGTAGTTTTAAAGGTTTGAGAGAAATCGATATTACATACTTATTAATGCTACAATCGTAAGATTTGTAAAAGATACAAAATAGTTACAAAAAGGGTAAGGCATTTGTTTTGAGAGGGTCGGAGGTGACTATGTGAAATTGGAAAAAAAAAATTATGGCTTGTGGCAGCGTGTTTACGAGACGGTGTTATACCGTCTCGTTTACCGACGACATGCAAAAGTGTGAGACGTCCGAAAAATCTTCCTACCACGGGAGAGCAACATATCATTTTTAAAAAAAAGGTTTTACGTGTATTACACAGTTATTGAAAGTGATTATAGTAGCACGAGTTGCCGCTTGGAACCGCCGAAGCCAAAAATACCGCGACTCAATCCACCCCTCTTCATTTTTGCAAAGATCTAGAAATTTTCAATGTTTTTATTTAAGATTTTTACTGGCATCATTTCATAGTTAAGAAAGAAAAATCAGACGGGAGCTGACTATGATTTCCAAAAATTTTTCCTCAGCATCCCCTCCCCTGCCACGCAATTGACCAATTTCTTCTTGACTTTAATTTTTTACTACTTGACATTGTTATTATTAAATATTGTCTAAAGTAAGTCAATTTCTATTTAATTATTAGTTAGGAAACTTTACGTAAAATCTTTCGTTTGTTCAAAAATTCGCTATCTTTTTTATTATTTTCGATTTTCGTATTTTAAAACGATCGTCACATTATGTACATTTACTGTTGTGAATATCTGTTCCTTAGAAGGCGTTATACAGTTTCTGATTTATTTCAATTTACCTAATTCTACACAGGTTCTGTATTTTCCATAGAATACTATAATACATAGAACGGGGGAGTGGGCGGAGCCCATGTAGCCACTAACATGTCACCAACATGTCAATTCACACCTGTAAATGTCAACACAATCAATCGCTTTCAATTTTTGTGTCAAGTGTCGCTGCATGCAAATTATTTAAAAAATGGCAAATTGTGCAATAATTACGTGTCGAAAGAACAGCGGGTAATGGAATTTAAATAAAGGAGACATATCCCACAACCAGAAGGTCGAAACTATTTATATTTTGTAAATATTGGAAAGAAAAATAAAGAAATATATATGTGTTAAAAACATTAATCAAAAGTCTAAAATGTGTAAATTTGCTCAGTCTGTCTATTGATAGCGAATCGGGTTTGTAGTAGTGATAATATGACGTAATTGTATGTATGTGCGCTCCCGGCGACATCGATCCTCGTACAAAATAAGGTTGACAGCCATTCTATTGTGTATTATAGTATTCTATGGTATTTTCAATACGGGTGATGTCAGAGACTTAAAAAAAACTTGCAATGATATTACTAATATCCTCGTTAATCATTCCAAAAGAGCTTACAATGCTTATATAACGAGTGGTTCCAGACAGTAGTCGAATGGTAGATTCAAACCCACGCCTAGGGTGTGGACCGTGAACCCTTAACGTTTAGGCTACTGTCGATTCATTTCTTCTAGAATCATCATTCATTTGTTCTAGAATTTTTCTGCTAGCTAAAACTCATGTCGTGTGGTCTTCAACATTGCCCAAATTGCTACTGTTTCGAATGGGACGACATTACATCATGAAATCACCGCAGTCGACTCCAAAGTCCCAGTCATCGGAGGTAGTGGCTGTGTCGTCGTACTCTGCAAGTGCCTGCTCGTAGGCTGAGGCCTCGTAGGCTGTCACCCCATCGAGCACTGAGCACGCCTGCGACACATTGGTGTGGTGCATGATTGGCATCGCGTGGAGTGCAAAGTCATCACCCTCCTGTGACCACATGAGACCTGGAATTATAAATATTAAACATAGTTTTTGTTAAATAGCCAATGTTTAACTCCATTACCGTCATATTATTAGCTAGTAGAAGTCTACACGTTAGTGGACTAAGCTCGATCCGAATCTTGACAGTTTATATATAATATATTTCATACTAAATAATGTCTCCCAGGCGGGATTTCGGCCACGTCGGTCAGCCTCAACGGCGACTAGCTATCTGCGCAGGACAATATTATAATGCCATCGGAGGCACGAAGGTGATATGCCGCAAAACTTCAGGACTCCAGGTTGATACTAAGAATTTCTTCATTTAAAAATCCAATAAGCTGATTTTTTGGGTCGACCCAGGATTCGATCCCGGGACCTCACGGTGAGAAATCACGTTTACGACCACTAGACCAACGTGGCAGTCAGTTTAATATATGTTGATAAAATATTAAAATCAATAATGATTTATTGATAAAGTATGAATTAATTCTTATAGATAAAAGATTTTTTTCTTATTTTCAATTTTCCCTTAGAACTGTGAGTGCTACAGCCAGCCTATATACACTATAATAAATCAATTATAAAGACGCCCACTTAAACTAATTATTATCTGATACCAAGTTCCATTCCTACGTTCAAATTAGTTCGAGGTCCAGCTTTCCTGATAGCGCAATAAAATTAAGTTTTGAAAAAATTGCTTACGTCCATTCCACACGCCGTTGGGCTGCGTCGCCCAGCCCCATCCTTGGCCCCAGGCCAGCTCGTGGCCCAGCTTCCCCGCCAACGCTATAAACGGAAGATGCTATCAGATACTCAGGGCCAGGGTCGGTAAACGTCATCCAAGCCTAGCCCATTTCCACTCCAACCCGAGTCCCAGCTGCCTCGCCAGCTCTAGAAGGTCAGTTTTCTTTATAGTATGTACAAGTACTCACGTCCGCTCCACACGCCGTTGGGCAACGTCACCCACCCCCAGCCTTGTCCCCACGCGAGCTCGTGGTCTAACTGCCCCGCCAGTGGCACCTGTCTCTTGATGACTGCCACCAGTCCGCGTCCATCTAGAGCGGTTAAAGCACTACGTGTGCTTCTTGTGTACATCTCCGATGACGTAGCTGGAAAGACAAAGACGAAAATTTTAGAGTCAGAAAGGTTTGTAGTAAGTTTTTTTAGTGACAAACAAGCACACTCCACCTGATGATTAATGGACGCTTTGGCCCTAGACATCTATCCTTGATCAAAACAATGTGCTTTGTTTTCCCTAAGAGCTAATATGGATTGCCTCGTTACCAGTAACAAGGGGTATTTTTTTTATAGAATAGGGGTAACAAATGTGCACGCAGTCCACCTGATGGTAAGTGGATGCTGTGGTCTATAAACATCTACGACTATCTTCGGTTGAGAATCAAAATGCAGTTGCGTTGCCACCTATGGGGGCTAAAATAAAATGTCTCGTTTCCAGTAAAAGGGGTCTCCAGTTCCTTACCGTGCGGGACAAGTGAATATTGTGATAATAGACACTGTTAGGACAATACATAAATAGTCATAAGCGTTATTATAGCTTAGAGTTTTCTCTCATAATTTTATAGCAGAATTAGTTTTAAGTTGTTAATTAGAAATGTATAAATTTTTTATATAGGAAACAATACAATTGTTACGCGACTCAGCAAGGTAATTATAATTACATAGCATCGTGCCTTCCTCTCTCGCGCCTCTCTCTGATTAGTTGTTACCCTGTCGTTAGTACTGTATTCTTTGACCTAGCCAAGGTCGTAATAAAAAGAGGGTCATTTCCGTCGTTCGATCTGCACCTCCTTTTCCCCAAGGGGGGTCGCTTCCGATACGGTTGAAATCCCCTTCAGGTCAAAGCCAGTCTCAGGTGGTGTTTAGTGAGTAGGCACTGAGGTTTCTCTTCCACGTACAAAATCTGACGATACTCATGGGGTATGGACATATATGGGGTAGTGGAGTCTCGTACGCTTCCACTAGACGGCACGTTTTTCATTAATCTACGTCAAATTCCCATTATGAAAAATATTGCATTAATATCGCTTATGAATGAGAACTTTTGAGTTCTGTACCGCGTCGTTGTTCATCCTTATTTCGGGAACACGGCTCGGCCATTACGACTTGGTAAACTCCCGCTGTAAGCCCGTAGAAGTTTTGACCGGTTATCCCTGTTTTACTGTGCGTGATGCCTGTTATATTCGGCTATTCGTTAGAAATTAACTTATTAATTAAATTTTAAAGCTTTTTGGAGTGAATCAATTTTGAGTCCACGCACGGCCTGCAAATTAGATGAGAGTGAAATCGAGTGTAAATTAAAAACTTTTGTTTTTTCTGACAAAAAGTGAAGTCGTTGTGTTGCCCCTCCGCGAAACACATTCGCGCATCTTATTCTAAACGCGTATAACGTAATAGCGCCATCTACTTCATTTTAAAGGAAAATTTATCGAACAAATTGGTTGACTTGGTTCTGAAGGTGACAGTGTTATCCAAATAAGACGCTGAATGGACTAAACGTCACTAATTTCATTAATTAAATGTACTATAACTAAGCGCTTCGAAGCTAACACGGATCTTATTTTCTTCATCAGCATGTAATTGACTCTCCTATTGTAGGAAGGGCTTGCTGTTCTATACAAACTTATCGCTCAGCAGACTGATTGAATAGCGTGGATGCACAAACCTTTGACGCTGCTCCTCTATGCCACTCCAAGTATATTACATCTGGTAAATCATCATTACAGCCTATCATAAGTCCACTGCTGAACATAGGCCTCCCTCAAGAAGAGCCACAAAGCACGGTCCTAAGCCATATACGTTTACGAGCTTCTGCATCTCTTACCAGGTCATGACTCCATCTACTGGAAAACCATCGGTTGTTGATTCTTCGAGCTATATGGCCGGCCAATTGGCCATCTTACAGGTTCGTTGAAGTACGAGTATATCAGTTACTTTGTTTCTGCTGTGGTTACTCTCATTACAAAGTGTACCACGCAGGGAAACTTTGAGCATAGCCCTGTCTACAAATCGACCTGAAGTTTCCTGATACGGCCAGCAGGTACCTATATACTGGATGATATTTTTGCCGTCCGGAAACAAATAAGGTGTAACAAGTGAACGAAATAGAAGCCTATAGCACCGATATTTTACAAATTTATTATTATTTTACATAAACATATTATGAAATTAATCTGTCAATAAATACTACTAATTGGGCACGTTTTAATTTAATTTCGATAGTTTTTGATTAATTTCTTTATTTACTTCAAAAATTTTGTTGTTATTTTTTTTAGTACCGAAAGTTGATTTTATTTAGTAATATTTATTGATCGATCAATTTTACAATTTGTGAATGTAAAATACAATTCCATTACGTTCACCTGTTACATTCTATTGTTTTCCAGACGGTAAAAAAATCACCCAGTTTATATACCTAACCGATGGATCCTATTAGTCATTGAGCATAGTCTAGTGATTCTGTAGTATAGTAGTAGAGGATTAAGATATTCGCCTACGCCATATCATCATGGAACAGGAGATGGGCAGCAGCATCTGCTGATTGTCACTCAAAATAATAAAAAAATACGGTTACTAACCTACCTGCTATAGGTGTCAACTATTGTAAATATTCCCTTTATGAGGCAATCTATAGAGGAGACCGAACTTAATTTAGCGTTGATTAATCGAAAAACACATAATTAACATTATTTTTATTTTTTAAGCTGTCCGATGGAATTGAAATTTAGTAAAAGTATAAAATTTCTGGTTTTCATCTACTTTAAAAACTCATTAAGCAAATAAACAATAAACGCAAAGAAAAATAAATATAGCAATGAAATTTAATTTTAAAAATTCAAGTTAATCAAATAAAATGCGTTCGTGAACTCGCAGTAGAGCAGTCTGAAATTTGAAATTTAGAAGTTCTTAGAAATTCTTAGAAATTTGAAAATGCCTGTGCCCAACATAGATAGGCTGTTGCTTTACTTTTTAGTTGAAGGAAAACATCTCACTTTTAGTGCCATTTAAAAAGAACGTTCAACTTAAATCCTCGGCGCATTAACTTAACATTTTTAAGTTAAGGTAATCTATCTTACGCAATTCATAACAAAGCAAATGAAGCTGCAGAATCCGGAACTTTCTGAAGATATATATATACCGCTGGATATCCATAATCAGTCTATCAGGCAGAATGTATGGGTATCATCCAAGCGGCCATGTTAGTTGATGCTAAGAAGGTAAAAGACTTCTTATATAACAGCACCCAGTCTTACACCCCTCTTTTTTGTAATTGTTTGTGAGAATTTTAATAGCAAAAAGTTACTGAAAGATTGACTGTATGATGAATTTTGCGTGATTTTAAAATGTTTTTTTTTTAAAATAGTCTTTGTAGTGGATGTCAAGGAAAGAAGCGTTTTTTTTTCTAATTTGTATATTAAATATTTGTATTTTACATGCAGCCGAAAGTGCAATACAGTTTGCTTAAAAACAAACTTAAGAAATGAATAAATTATGGTTGAATTTTGAGCTCTAGACGACCACTAGTAATTATTAATTCGAAATAAAACACATTTTGTAAATTATCGTGAAAGGGAAGTATCTGCTACGCTTTCAGCTTTAAGCCCTAATTACGGGAAAATTTGCTTTTGCGTTTCCATTTCGTTATTGAAAAGAGAGCTCAAGTTATTTCCCTTTTAGAAAAATAATTTTGCGCTTTACATTGAAATATCTAAGGTTTCTCAGGTTCCATTTATTTATTTACAAGTTCAATTACGTAAGTTTTTAACGACGTTCAACGAGTTCTTTAACGAAGTAAAAAAAATATCTTGTTATGACACTTTTTCTGCCTTGGATTCCATCTGGGTAGATCAGTAGTAGATTAAATATCGACAGCGCTAGGCTAGCACCTTATCGGTGGTCAATATATGTATTATAAAATATAACAAAGTTTTATACGTGGTAGAGCCATGCTGCAGTTATATTAGTATTATAGTTGTGGCACGAATGGGTCGGCTCGACTGGGGAAGGACCACGCTCTCACAGAATACCAGTGTAAAATAGCAGCTTAATGCTGCTGTGTTTCATTAGGTGAGCGTAGAGAACCGGAGACCCTTTTCACTGGAAACGAGGCATTCCTTGTTACTCCTCAGGGGTGACAACGCATTTGCATTTTGATCTTTAGTTGTGGATAAATGTGTATGTCTATGGGCCACAGCATCCACTTACTATCAAGTGGACTGTGTGCTCGTTTGTCACCAAATGCTATAAAAAAACCTTCTTATAACTTAAAAAGATCGCACGCAGCATCTTACTTATAACAACTTAAAATATTAAAAACTGTAGCTGCCAAAGCGTTGCAACAATGGCAAAATCTCTCTAAGGTAATCTAAGAGGAAGGCCTATATATATATACATATATATATATATATATATATATATATATATATATATATATATATATATGAAATTTTGATTGCCAGTATGATGTATAAATGAATTGACTGCGTCCACTTAGTTGCAGTAATTAATGAATACTTTCGATATTTTCAGTCAGCATGTACGAAATGTACATAAGTGCTCGAGTTATGATACAGTTTATAGTTGCAGCATAAGCAAGTCGATTGGGAAAGAACTATGCTTCGCAGAATATTAGCGTAAAATAGCAGCTTAATGCTGCTGTTATGAGTGTAGACAACCGGACACCCCTTTTACTGGAAACAAGGCATTACATGTTAGTCCCCAAGGGTGACAACGCTTCTTCGAGGATAGATGTAGGTATCTACGTGCCGCAGCATCCCTACACCATCGGGTGTCGTTTTATGTAAATTTAATATCGCTAATTAAAGGAGGCTATGTGGGCGTTCATCCAGCATTTCTTATATTCTTACTAAACATAAGAACGAAATGGGGCGATAGTCTATACTACCATCACACGGCATAATCATCATCATCATTGTCATAATAAAAAATAGTCTCGAGGTACATCTTAGGATAAATTAAAATTACAAATCCCTGTAATCAATAGTATGTAATTTGTACAAGATATCGAGGTCTTCTGTGTCATGAGGCCACACATCTTGTTAATCCGGACTTAATCCACGTTTAAGATACA